CACACACACACACACACACACACACACACACACACACACACACACACACACACACACACTCTCACCTACACATGCACATACATTCTCCTGTCTATTGATGGGGAGCGCCATCTGCTGGAAACTGGGTCCAGCGTCCCATGAACATCGTGAATAAGGCATCAACCGAGACCCGACATACACTCTCTCTTCGAGTTGTGTATAGTGAACATGACAAAATATACATACAACGTATTCACTACCTTACCCTTCCCGAACCACATAACCAAACGAACTACGGGCTGCGCACCCGTGCCCTCACGGTAAGTCAATCCCCTGATACATCCACTACCAATTTCCGTGTCCTTTTTGCAAGCAGATGTAGAGCTCTATCAAAAATCGAGGCCTGCATGGCCAATTTTGGCCTCTGTCCGCATTCTGGCAATTTGACTTTTCCTTGAAAAAGAGGGAGAAAAAGCAATCAGATGTGTGACTATCCTGCCCACGGAAGGAAGACATCGCCGTCAGGGCCCTTCTTCGTCTTATCTTCTAGGCACCCCACAAGTAGTCGTGTGGCCCTTCAAACCCAGCGAATGCCGTGTCCCCAAAAGCCCCAAATTTGGGGGTTACTACAGGTGAGGTTGCCATGCTCCACTCCAACCCGCACGGTTCTGTCACCCCATGATTTTCAGGGAGGCATCACAGCAAAGGCAGATGCAAAAGAGGCAACAGAGCTATCCGTCCGTGCAATCATAGTTTTCCTTTCCGGAGCAGCCCCATCCATAATGTGGTTTTGCAGTCGACGGAGAACACTTGTTTGGGGCCGTACTGCTCCCCTAGGATAGGCCCCTTTGTTTTTTTTTTGGCCATTTGTCAACTGCGGGAGAAATCTGCCCATGGGGGGGAGAAGAGAGGCAAGCCTGGATCAGGCCGTGCTGCCGCACGAGATGGCACAGGGTCTCGCTGCACTACTACGGGGCCTTAGGGCCCTACGTATTTCCACTGCTCACCATCTGCCAACATTTTGAGCGCATGTGGTCTACATTTCGTCCAGATGCCTTCAAAATGTTGGCGACGGCGAGTAGTGCGACTACCGTAGGCCCTTACTCGCCGACCAAAGGTGCGGATTTACCAGTGTATCTTCCTCCAGTCTTCCGCTTGAAGGCGCAGAGAAAGATACGCTGGCTACTTCTTTTCCCTTTCTCTCGTTTGGTGAGTGGTCGAGCGAGGCCCAAAGACACCAGCTGGCAATTACATTTTCCATAGCGTATCGCTTCGCCTGCTGCTTGTCTGTTTGCCTGTACCAGATAGAGAGGCCCTTCATAGTAGTATATTTGCATGCATTTGTTTCTACAAGACGAGTTGAGCTCCTGACCTGTTAGTCAACAGTGACATCTGTGTACCATTTAGCCCAGGGGGCGGGTACCAGCAGGCCCTTTTTCCCTTCTCCGGGGATAAGACAGAGGGGTGGGGTGGGCACAGGTAAAACCTGACCCCAAGCCGGAGGTATATATGCCCCGGATCTCAACCCCTTCTGTGATTTGTGACAAACGGTTCGCGCAGGCATTAGAGCGACGACGACCCTTGCAGAGTTAGCGCGGCGAGCCAAGCAAAGCCGCCGGGGGCCAGGCTCCGCTGCAGCAGCAGCAGCACAGAGAAAGGGTGGTGGGGGGGGGTAGGGAGGGTGGGGAGGGTAGGGAGAGTTTCAAACAGCTGAGCGACTGGGCAGAGGAGTGGCGGGGAGCCGCAGTAGCGCGGCCCAGAGAATAGCAGGCGACCGTCCCGTTTGGGCAACGAGCCCACCCCACCACGGCAGCAGCGGAGGGAGGAAGAGCGAACAATGCAGAACGCATAAGAGAGGAGAGGGTAATAGGCAAAAGAGGAGGGTAGGGGTTGGGAAATGGGAAATCGAACCTGGCTGGAGTAGGAATCGGAAGGGAGAAGGCTACGTAGCGCAGCAGGCAGAACAAGCGCCAGCTTTCTGCGCCTGGGGAGCGTTGAGCTTGGGGAGTGAGGAGGCAGGGGGGGGGGAGATTCAAAAAGGCGGGGGGTGACATTGGCAACGCGCGCGGTGGTCACGCTGGCTGGCTTGTCACGCTGGCGCTTGCTCGCTCGCTCGCTTGGTTGGTTGACTGCAGGCTGTAGACGATCCACCCACCACCCCGCGCTGTCCGGCTCGGACACGCGGTGGGAATTCCTCAGTGCGCGCGCCCACCCCTCCCTCCTCTCTCGCTCTCTCTCTCGCGCGCTAACGCACCGAGAGACTCTGTGTCGTTTATGATTTCATTTCATTTGCGAATCAACAGGAACGCTCGTCGGTCGAGAGAGAGAAATGCTGAAAATTTTGATTAGCGTCGTCCAGCAGAGTGTGAACTCGGCGGGTGAGTGGCGCGCTTTTTCTTCTGTCCGCGGCGGCGGGAGACGTCCCAGCTCTGGAATTTCGGCGGGTTGACGTGCAAAAAATCTGGCGGGCTGAAGAGCAAAACCAGTGCCCGGCTTTGTGTTCGGGCGCCAATCCATCCACAGGCAGAGAAGAGATTGCCTGTGTGTGCCCGCCTTCTCTGCCGTTGCGCGTACGCTGTTGTCAAGAGCGCCCCGCTTTTCTAGCTTTCGGGTTGGGGAAAGTATGTTGGGAGGGGTCTAGGAAGGGGGCCAGAAACAGAGAGAGGGAGGAAAAAGAGGAGGAGGAGGAGGGGGAGGGGGGGGGGGGGGGGGGGGAAGGCCCCGGAACCCCCTCTCTGAGGTTGGTGTTGGTCATCCGTTGAGTGACAATTGTTTTGAAAAGAGGCTGTAGAAGGAAGGGACCTGGGGAAGTTCGTCCGGACCGTTGGGGGAGGGGGGGCGGAGGGGGAGCGGAGGGGGAGGCAGAAGGGGGTGTAGAGGGGTACTTAAATGTGCGCAATTTACCGGGGGGGTGTTTTTTAAAGACTAGGATGATGATGGCAAGCTACGAGACGGGCGATTCTGCAGGAGAGATGGTGGAGGAGGAGGTAAGTTATGAACCAAGGGAAGAGGTGGAAGGGGAAGAGGAAGATGGGAGAGAGGAGGAGAATGAGGAGGAAGCGGACGGGAGGGGGTTGGCCGAAGATAGCAAAAGGTTCAGCACGGGGCGGCCGCGTTATAGATGCAATCATGATGTGGATGAGGATCTAGAGAAGGATAATTCAGAGGAAGATGAAGCGAGATCATTGTCTAATGGCGTGGCAAGGGATTGGGAGAATGGAGGAAAGAGGAGCGGCGGAGAGGGAGGGAGGGGAAGAGGGGGAGGCAGGAGAGGAGGGGGGGGTGACGGTGACTGTAACGGCTCTATTTCGTCCCACAGCAGCGGGCAGCAACTTGGCGAAGAGGAGCGACGGCAATTGGCCAGAAGGAGGAAGGGGGAGGAGGAGGAAGAGGAGGAGGAGGTAGGAGAGATGGAAACATCTCATGATGAGGGCGAGGAAGGGGAGCACGTGGAGGAGGAGGAGGAGGATGCGGAGGAGGAGGAAGTAGACAGGGAACAGGATGAGCGAGAGGGGAATGAGGACATGGATGAGTATGAGGGCGGGGAGGAAGGCCACGTGGGCAAACGAGGAGGAAGGTACTCTCCCCCGCGGCGCGTTAGGACGACGTTGGGACCGAGGCACTACAGACAACGGGCTCAGTCGGGATCCGGAGGAGAAGAAGATTTGTCCACAGAAGACCGCCAAGAAGACGAGGAGGAAGATGGTGACGAAGAAGATGCTGAAGAGGAGGAAGACTATGAAGAAGAAGGCGAGGATGAAGACGATGACGACGCTGATGAAGGTGGGAACTGCCTTTCGCTGAATGGTGCTCCCGGGCACCAAATCTACCCTAAGCATTTGCCCCTAACATGTCTCTGATTGTCATTTTCCAAAGGCCGATGGGTCAACCAAGTTGACAGCGGGAACATCCACAGGTATACTGCGTATCCAACGCAAACAAGTCGCTGACATTTTTCTCATGACAGCTTTCCCTATAGGTACCTAGTGCGCCCCGGCCTCCTATCGCACCCTAGAATCCCGGTCATTACCCGCTCAACCCTGCTCATACATACACACACACACACAGACACACACACACACACACCACACACACACACACACACACAGAGCTGTCTCTTATACACATCTAGATGTGTATAAGAGACAGGATCAAGACCTCTCCTTTCGAGGGTAGACTTATATACGTTCATACGGTCTACACAAGCAGGTTGTTTGAAGCTGTTAGCCTCAGGAAACTGTTT